TATATGTATATATATAGGGTTGTGGGTTTGATTTTTGGGTCCTGTTTATTGCATTTATGATTCAATGCAATAAACTAATTTAATCTGGGGGTCCTACCCCAGAAAATTTTGAGTAAAATAGATGCGATTTCCTGCATTTTGGTGTATTTTAATAGGTTTTTAAACATCCTACGTTTACCTACATTTGTAAACACTCCGCTTCTGTCAAGCATCCTTCCCCCATCCGTATGTCGGGCTCAGAACCGAGCCTGACTCTGTCCCTGCTCGTCGCTGTCCGACTCCACGTGTGAACCTCCAGGTGCCTGCCTGCCGCTGCCTGTGAGCTCCTGCCTAAGTAAGACTGCCTGGTTAGCTCATCACTCACCCGCACCACTCTTTTAGGGGTGGAGATTTATTTAAGGGTAGATGCGGAAATGCTACTTGAAGAGGCAGCTCTGTGATATTATTCATTCAACCTTTATTAAGACAGGTTAATCCCATTGAGCCTCGAGGACTCATTTACAAGAGAGACCTGAAGTTATCAAGAATAATTAAGAAGTTGCAAGTGGCTATTGTGTTTAAAAGGAGTGTTTATGTAATTATTTTCAGTTTACATATCCAATAAGTTTTATTTGTTCATAGTAGTCATATTTGTTCATAACTTTATTATTAGTAAGCCTGAGAGTTACCGGATCCAAGCACGGGATGCACCCTGTCAAAATAAGAGTTCCTGGATCCTTTTCCAGCAGGATCCAGCTCAAATTAAGCCCTGCAGTAACATCACTTTGCTTTCCAGAAGTAATCACTACTTGTGAGTGTTTTGTTTGTATGTCACCTGATATTAGTGGATGGGATAAATGCTTTTTATTTTAATTATTTCATTAGATTAGTGGGTCCGATGAACAGTTCAGACACTCTAGCCAAAGCTACTACCAAGGACATGAGACCAGAGACGGATCAAAGCTTTTCTGATATAACCAAGAATGTACAATAAGCTACTTTCAAGGTTCCTCCTTGAAGTTCTACCCTTGATAAACCAAGGAAAACCTTTACAACAAGGGAAAGTTTTCTTTAAACAATCAGAATACTCCATGTACTTGCTGTGTGATTGTGGTTTGTACACTTAGTAGTTGTGTGAATATTCTGGGGTTGATTACAATCAAACTCATTAGTGTGACAGCACTTTCGTTTTTTATTTCTCTAACTAAATATTAAGGTTTCAACACCTTATTGTGGTGCAAGAGTTTGAATAGAATAGAATTCTTTCTTGTCGTTGCACAGCCTGAACAATGAAATTAAAGGTGCTTCATCTGACAGTGTATTAATAATAAAAAAAGACAACATGTGTACCGGTACACACCGATTCAGTGCAGACATTAAAGACCTTTGTATACAAGAAACATCAGTTCTGAAAACACACAGACACACTGGTCAAAAGAAAACAGGTGAGGTGGAAGCAGACTGAACATATTGCACATCCTGTGAGTGACCAAACATATTGCACTGGAGCAAAATTGCACTTAGGGAATTTAACGGGCATTTAGAGTCCGGGTGGCCCAAGAGAAGAAGCTGTTTTGTCTGTTCGGCTCTTAATGTTCCTGAATCTTCTGCTGGAGGACAGCAGGCTGAGTAGGTGCTAACCAGGATGGAGGTGGTCTTGGAGGATCCTATTTACCCTGGAGAGACAGCGAGAGCTGGCGATGTTGTCGAGGGAGGGGAGAGGACATCCAGTTGTTCTCTCAGCAGTCCTGATCACCCTCTGCAGCCTCTTCTTGTCGGCAGTGGTGGAGCCAGTGTACCACACTGTAATGGTGTTCACCAGTATACTCTCTATGAAGAAGCAGTAGAAGGTTACCAGCAGCTCAGTCTCCGAGTTGTTCTGTCTAAATACTCTCAAAGTGTTTTCGCTGCTGGGCCTTCACTGCTGTGGTGTTAACTGACCAGGAAATGTTCTCTGAGATGTAAGTCCCCAGAGCTTGAAGAGTTCTACATTCATATAGAGTGGGGCAGGAGCAGCCTTGCTCCTCCTGTAATTCATGATCACATCCTTCATTTTCCTGGTATTGAGTGACATCATGACACCCTGGAGAGACTTTGTCTTTTGGCTGGTCTGGGAACACCTTGGGAGTCCTTCCAGAAGAGCAGGAAGAGGTGGCTGTGGAAAGAAATGTCTGGACTTCCCTGCTCAGCTGTTTCCCCCAAGACCTGATGAGTCTGGTTCCATCTTCTGGGAGATCCCAAGGTGTTCCCAGGCCAGGGATGATAAATAATAAATGTGTCTGTGTGACCAAAGTGTTCAGAAGGTGTCCAAGTTTCTGGCTTGATAGCATATAAAGGTTTCTGGGATCAAACAGTATAAAAAGTTGTATATTCCCACTTTTTTATAAATAACTTGCCCAACAAATATTCTGATATCAGTCCCAGTTTTTACTCTATACTGTCCGATTCATAGTCAGAAAAATAAGATGCAGTCAATCAAAATCAATAAACCCTACCTGCATTTGTCTTGCTTTTGGGAATAAAAAACTTGTTTTAAGTGAAAATTTTGTGGAACAAAAATGTAAGTCTGTACCGCACTTTAGAAAATGACGGAGCAGCAGCTCCTGCTCTGCGTCATCAAAACGGTGCTGTTGTGGAGAATTGTTTTTTATTTTTGTCATAGTCCCACCCTTTCGACATTACAGTGACAGATCTTCCAGATTTTTTTAATTCTACTAATAAACTCAACATGAGGAACAAAATTAAGACTGATTGATTTTACAACATGACAGTGTTGACTTTAATAACTTTAATGTACTTCTATTCTGTAGCCTGCTAACATGTACTAACTATTCACGTGTCAGATTCAGAACATTGCTTGTGCTTGAGAATGACTTGAAATGTGGATTTTTGTCAACTTGATTTGTATTTGACTAAAAGTGACAGAAATCTCCCGCAGTGCCTCCTGCCTCTCGTTTTAAAGAAGTCAGATGAAAAGACCTGCAGGACAATAAAAACCTGGGACATTTGGGACTAATTTGTGGCTCAAAGCTTTAATATCAGAACCTGCAGTTCAAGGAGACGGTTTGGATGATTACCCCTCTGTTCTGCTCCACACGTACAGTTAGGAGCAGGAATTCAACACAAGCTGACTCACACACCCACTGACTGTTATTTTTACAGTCTAAAATTACACACACACGCGCACACACACACACACACACACACACACACATGCAGTTTCAGGAGGGGCTGGATGAGCTGCTGGTTAAAAGGAGCAGAGAGGACGGCCCACCAACAGGACTTCTTCTGATCCAGCTCACTTCTGTTGGGACAGAGACAGAGACAGGCCAGAAGAAAGAAAGACAGAGACACAGAGAGGGGTGAGACAGACAGACCCTGCCCTGAACCGGACCCGTCAGCTGTGTGTCCTGAACCATCCAGCAATTTGTGCTTTTAAAGTCCACTCAATAAGGTGAGCAGTTCTTCTTCTTACATCACTGTCTCATCTTTAACGGTTACAAAAACTGTGTAGGACCTAAATCAGGACTATTTAACTGGCAGCCCATGGGCCACTTCCTGTCCACGGGTGACTTCAGTCCGGCCCACCAATGAGTTCATTTGGGTTTTGGGTTCTGCTTATTGCATTTATGATTCAATGCAATCAAACAAACAAATTTAAAAGGTAACAGATCGTTGTAATACTTGGTTTATTTACATATTGACTTTAATTGTTGAATGTGTGGCCCCTGAGCTGCTGGCTTTCAGAAACTGTGGCCCCCTGAGCAGTTTTGCTGAAGAGCCCTGACCTAAATCATCTTCAACAAATTCACCTAAATGATTTTTGATTGATGAGAAATCCAGAAAACTGAGACGTCGTCGGGGAGATGGTGGAGGTCAAACACTTACTCAGGAATGTTGGGCTGCCTTGGAGCAGGAACGTGCAACCAACCAACCGACAATAATGTTAAAAAAATCCACATTTGTTGTTTTATTCTGACATGCTTCCCACCCGGGACACGAGACACAAGACACAGCTTGTCCTGCTGACGGAGGACAAGGAGAGCAGACCTCACATTACTCCCGTTTACTGAAACAGACCGTCAGACTTTGAGGACCAGAGGAAACTAAACAGACTTTTAACAGCTGACGATGAAAACCCGGCTTCTGGGAGTTCCTGTTGATTTTTATCAAGCTGCTCTGACGGGTCAGAGGTGGGTCAGCAGCTCCACTTCACTCCCAGACATGACCCAGAAACTTTCTGTTTAGTTTGAGAGAGAGATAGAGAGCTAGACAGACAGACAGACAGAGACAGACCGACAGAGACAGAATGAGACAGACCGACAGAGACAGACTGACAGAGACAGACAGACAGACAGACAGAGACAGACCAACAGAGACAGACAGACAGACAGACAATAATTTCAGTTATTTGCTCCACTGTCCCTTGAACCAGTTTCCCCACAGCATGATGCTGCCCCCACCGTGCTTCACTGTAGAGACATGTTCTCAGCAAGATGGGAGGTGGTAGGTTTGGTCTCCTGACCACAGCACCTCCTTCCACAGGTTTCATGTCTTATTCCTGTCCACTCGTCCATGAAGTCCAGCTCTGAGCAGCTTCTAGTGGTCCCCTGGACAGATCCTCCATGTCTCAGCTCCATCAAGGTCATCTTTGTCCTCCTGGTTGTTCCTCTGATTAATGTTCTCCTTGTTCACTCAGTTAGTTTTGGTCTTGTGAGTGATAACATCATTAATTTCCTAATAATGGATTTGATGGATCTCTGTCAGATGTTCAAGAGTCTAAAATGTTTTGATGAACTTTGTCTCTAACCTGCGTGGACTGTTCCTTGGTCTTCATGATGTCACTTGATTGGTGGTAGCCCAAACAGGTGTTGGACAGCTGTTGATTCTGGGTTCTGTCAAAACAGGTGGATAAATACTGAGAACGTCTGCATGAATGTCTGAGAATGACTGACCAGTAAACAGAGAGCTTTGCTTTACAGCTCAGCTCCCTCTTCACCACAACGGACCAGTACAGAGTCCACAATACTGCAGACGCTGCACCAATCCATCTGTCAATCTCACTCTCCATTCTTCCCTCATTCACCACTCATCTTCTCCTTCACCACCTCATGAACTCACACCATCTCCTGTCTGAGGAACTGATTGTGTTTCTTTGTGTTGACAGATGTTTCTGCCTCTGATCTTCGTCCAGCTGCTCGTGACTCCGGTCTTCATGGTACGTTCTGTGATGCTCACGTTCTTCTTGAGTTCTTCCAATTTAAAACCTTCAGTTTATACAGAAGTATCAAAGTTTCTGTGTTTAGTTTTGTTCTGCTTCAACAATTCATGTATCAAAACATTCGGCTCTTTCCTACAATGACTTTTGGTTTTTATGTCACTTTTATGTTTTGAAGTATTTAGCTTTGTCGGCCACGTTTTTCTAATTGAAAATGAATGGAGCTCTTTTCTACCAAACCCTTTCAGCTGTTTACAACCTGTCACTGCTTGTTTCAGCTTTGCTTCTGGTTCAGCTTCTTTTTTCTAATTTCAGCTATTTCGTGTTCCTTTTTGGATTTTTCTTGCTTATTCAGTTTTTTTAACACTCCTTTCAGTTGTTTTTGTGCTAATGTCAGCATGTTTTTACTACTTTTAGATTATATCTGTTCAATATTTTTTGATCATTTCGCATTTTGATCCTCCTTTCAGCTTCTTCTTTTGTCTTTTCAGTTATTGTTGTAAGCTTTAGCTTGTTCAGCAGCTTTCAGCAACAAGTTTTCCCTCTGTGTTTTCACATGAGCTGAAGTTCTTGTAATTAGTTTTCCGTCATGTTTGCCCTCCAGGTGCCTGGCGTGGATTACTGGGACTCCTGGGCGTCGTACGGTGAATGCAGCCGCAGCTGTGGCACCGGTGTGACCGTGAGGAGCCGACGCTGCATCACTCAGAGGTTCGCCTCATGTTTACCTCATTTTAGCTGTTTGTGTCTGAGCTGGGTGTTGGCTGCTGGAGAGGATCAGACTGGGAGGGAACAATTGGACGTGCCCGTTTGGATTTAGAAATAAAATGATCATTTCAAAGCTTTATAATTTCCCTGCATGTGTGTTTTCAGCCTGAAGGTATCATTTAGTTCATTCTTGTTGGTTTCTAAACTTTCTTCTTGTGGATGTGACGCTTGGAGTCATGCTGAGAGTTGCTGGCAGAGATTTGTGTAAATGTTGCGATCATGCAGTCTGTTTCTGCTGAAACACATAAAGAGGCATTTTCATCAACAGCAAACTTTTTATGAGAAGTCCGTACTCTCACAGAAAACTTTTTTATTTCAGCATTTTGCCACAATAAATACCAAAACTGCTTCCCCTCTCTAGAGGATTTCCAGATCTTTGAGCATCCATCAATACCGGAGCAGTTTCAGTTTTCTGAAGCTCAACTTTCTGCACCAATTTAAAAAAAGTGGGTTGTTGAAGTTTTCTACCTTTGTTATTTATGGCTGCTGAGCTGTATTTATTTCGTGAGTTAAATCAGATAGAATTGAAAATTCTTCGTATCAACTCGAACCCTCTTTCCTCCCTGCCTATCAAACAGAACTCTAAAGTACAAAAGATCCTGCAGAAGTCTGCAGCTCAGAAAGTTTTTACCTTTTCAGGAACAACTCAATCTGAAGACCAGAACTCTCCCAGATTCCGTTCATCATTCAAGTTTCCCAGTTTGCTCTTATGACTCCGGCAGCAGGACACGTTAGACTGGTACAGGACGTGTATGAGGACAGCAGGACATGCATCCTGACCTACCATCACCGTTTACTTCAGCTCTGACCGCTTCTGGTCTCTCAGAGTTATTAAGAAAACAACAACCTTTGGAAAATCTTTTGTTGCTCAACAGCTTGATGCTCCGTCAAAATGGAGACATGACTCAGTAGTTGAGCAACAAAGTCGAGAGAACGTGGAACAAGCTGGAGGTCTGCAGGTCGTCAGTGTGCGCCTGCAGCAGGTCAGTGAGTCAGATGTTCTGTCAGGACGACCAGGAAGCAATCAGTGTGAATCAGAACTTTAAGCGTGTTGGATCATTGCGTGCTTCACGGGAGGTACCGGTGGTTCATGTCAGAGTGAAACACCTTTAACAGGTAGACGAGGCTTGCTGTCAGTGTGGGCTCAACCTTCCCTCCAGCCTCTTGCTCTCTTTCGTTTGGAGGGAACGTCGGGGCTGGCATTCCTCAGTGAAGGCTCGTTGTGAACGGCTGTTTGGACGTGTTTCAGACTTGACATGCTGACAGGAGCGGGCGTTAGGCCCACGGGCGGGGTTTAAAGGTGACCACATCATGAGACATCAGCTCAGCCGGAGGGCTGCAGGTTTTTGTGTTCAGTTGAGGTTGTAGAGTTTACGGTTTACAGTATAGAGTTATTATAGAGTTTACAGTATACAGGAACAGATTATTAAAATATCAGATCTAACAAGGTGATTTCCTCCATCGTTGAGAGGTTTGAACAGTGAAAGTTTGTGGTTTTCAGTCCAGTTTATTTCTACAGCTCCAAGTCACAACAGAAGTCATCTCAGGGCACTGAACAGAAACATTCATAAAAATTAAATTAGTAAAAAGTTATCTATAGGAAGCAGCAGGTTGTGTTGAATCTTCACTTCATCACAGTCTCCCAGCCTGAGCAAGCACAAAGGAGACAGTGGAAAGGAAACTCATTTTTAAACAGGAAGAAAGCTCCAGCAGAACCAGGCTCAGGACGAGCGGCCTTCTGCCTTGTTCGGCTGGTTTTGAGAGGACAGGAAGTAGAAACGGACACAGACTGGCAGGTTCAGGTGGACTTTCTATAGGAGGAAAGAAAAAAAAAAACATGTTACGATAGAAATAATTACAAACAGGTGGAGTTTGTAGCGTTTGACAGCAGCAGAGAGGAAATGTGTTCAGTTTGTCCCCCAGCAGTCTAAGCCTATAGCAGCATAACTAAGGGATAGCTCAGGGAACCCAAGCCAACCTTAAGTGTAGGATTTATCAAAAAGGAAAGACTTACTGGTAAGCCTAATCAAAACTGGACAATGTGTCAGCCTCATGGACAGAAACTGGAAGTATGTTCCATAAGAGAGGAGCCTGATAACTGAAAGATATGTCTCCTTTTCTACTTTTGGAAACTCTAGGAGCCATAAGTAAATCTGCAGTCTGAGAGCGAAGTGCTCTGTTAGGAAAATATGGAACAATAAGCTCTGTAATATAAGATGGAGCTAGGTTGTTGAGAGCTTTGTAGGTTGGAAGTAAGACTGTGAATTTAATTCTGAATTTGACAGAGAGCCAATGGAGAGAAGGTAAAACTGGAGAGATATGATCTCTCCTATCAGCTCTCATAAAAAAATAGTGTTTCTCTGGACTGAAACTGAACAGAGGATGAAAGTTAACCTAAATGTTTTTGGTGCAAGATGTTCAGGAGGGGAGGAGTTACACTGTTTTCTTGTCTGAGGCAGAGCAGAGTGACAGGTGCTGGCAGTTGGAGGGAGCGCTTTTATCCACCACCAGGTGCAGTGGAGGAGCCAGGGGGTGGCCAATGGTGGCCTTGGCCTCCATTGATTGTCAGCCATCCCAATCATTTAAGGAAACTATACATTTAAACAATATAAAAACTAAAAAGTAGAGTTTCCTGAAATGATTGGGGTGGTCAGTTTCCATATATCGATGGTGGTGGCCATTTTGGATTTGACGATGTGGCAACCCAATTTTTGATAGTGACCTTTCCTTACACTTAGATACGACCACATACCAACATTTAAGTCAGTATGTGACTTATTTTCATGCTACCCTGCTCTCATGGACATACGGAGGGCTGTTCCAGTTCCCTCTTTCAGCCTTGTGACGGAGGACAAGTTGTTTCTTTCTGCAGCTGACCTGACTCTGCTCTGTTCTTCAGGAGCAGCTACAGGTGAAGACAAATTCAGTTAACAAAGATGAAAACAGTCAGCTGAAGGGAAGCTGTGGATAAAACAGATCTTCGGCTGTGAGAAACACTTCAGCTGTCTTCAGTTTTATTTATTGGTCTTGTTTTGTTCCTTAGCTCACGACTTTTGCACCTCCAAAACCCTGACTGCTTCGTTAAAAAAACGTTTGTTTTAAATATTCTCATTTAGAAACAGAAAGACAACTTGGAGCTACAGCAGTGAGTTGTTGTTTTTTTGTTTTATTTTCTGCTGATCTGAGTTTTCTGTTTTTTGGTAAAGATTTTTACCACCAATAATATTAAATAATATTCTTCCCCGCCTCTCTTTACCGCCACTTTTGAAAGCAGTTGGTGTTCAGCAGCTGCTCTTTTAAAATGTAATTAACAATGGATCCGGCTCTTGGAAATGAAAATTATTCAGATGATTGTCTGGTTGTAATTCAGGTTATTAAGAGAAAACATCCTTAAATGCATTAAATGCTTCTACTTCCAGCTGTTCCCTTCAGGAGTCTCCACAGCAAAACATCTGTCTAACAGACCACGTCCTCCTCCACACCACCAGCCTCCATTAATGTTTGCTTCATCGTTCATTTGTCATGTTCACAGGACGGATGGAGGACACAACTGTGTGGGTCCAGATAAATCCTACCGCTCCTGCAACATCCAGGTGAGTAAATTAGAGGCTTTCAACAAACTGAAGCCGTTTCAGCTCCTGTCGTTTACCGTTAAAGTGTTTGTGCTCACTGAACAGCTCTGAAACGAAACATTTTTAGCAGCTGTTGCAAAATGTCACAAGTCACTGTAGATCCACACGTCAGAACCATGATCCAGAGTCTGAACGGGTCACAGGAAGCTGCACATGTCTGAACACATCTTTAACGGTTTTTAATCACAGGTTGAGTTAATTTTTACAGATTTTTCCCACAGCTGACGACAGTCGATGACGTCACACTAACGTCTGCTTTATTACATTTTCCAAACATTTTTAAAAACTCTTCTCACTCTTACAAATTCTTTTAGTGCAAATGCAAATGATACAACAAAGTGCAGGCGTTGTTGGTCTTTATTGACCCAGCGAGTCTCTCACCTTTGTCCAACCGACAGTTCTATTTATTTATTATTATTTATCATCTTTTATTTAACCAGACGTTGAGATCACAGACCTGCCGGGGCCTGAAGGCAGCCTGACATGCAGGAGTTGGACTGTGGGACAAAACCATGCAACCATGAGGAGAACATGCAAACTCCACACAGAAGGACCTCAGTTCCAGACTAGGGATTGAACTCACAACCTTCTTGCTGTGAGGCGACAGTGTTAACCACTAATCAATCGTGCTGACACATTTTCTGGAACAGGAAGTGAGGACTTGTCATGTCTGTTGCATAAAATTGCAGAAATGACCATCAGTCTGTTGCTCACGGCTAAAAAAACAAGAAACATCTGTGGTTTTGGTTTCACTTTCATTATCATGGCAGTTATGGAGTGACAGACGCATGTGTGTGGTTACCATGGTGACCACAATGAGCCACTGGCTGCAGCTCTTTGGTTCTCGTTACATCCTTTGTTGTAATGTTGGCGTTGTTCCTTACGTCAGATTATTAGAGCTTAGTTTGGAGCTGCACTTAAACTTTTCTGCAGAAACGTTCCAGTTTCAGGTGGAAACTTTGGACAAGTTAAACTCAGCGTGCAGTAAAAGTTTCATCTTCGCTAAATACACCAGAAATGTTCCTTTACCTTTTCTTTGTGAATTATACTTTGAATCTACCGACCTCTCTTCGCCTCCTTGTTCCTCTCAGGATTGTCCGGAAGGATCCAAAGATTTCCGGGAAGAACAGTGTTCCCAGTTCGATGGGGCCGACTTCCAGGGGAAGCGTTACAAGTGGCTCCCGTATTATGGAGGTGAGAAGAGAGCAGAGCTGACCTGTTCATCATACTTTATTTAAATGATTATCGTTTAAACAAACTGTTCAAGACGGTCCAGATTAATCTTAGATAGCAGCCGCAGCATTTCTAAATGAAGATCTTTGGTGTTTGGTTTGGACAGCTGAAAACCCCTGTGAGCTGAACTGCATGCCCAGAGGTGAAAACTTTTACTACCGCCATCGAAGCACCGTTGCCGACGGCACGCCCTGCCACCCCGGACGGAGGGACATCTGCGTGGACGGAGTCTGCAAGGTAATGTCCTGCAGAGGAGGACAGATAAATCCTCTGTTTTTAAAGACAACATGAAACTGAGTCATCTTTTCATGTGCCAGTTCAAACTTAAATCAGTTTTTTAAAACAGTATTTTTGTCCCCCGTCACAGAGCAAAGAGGGTGCGTACCCTCCATCTGTCCATGTTGTGAGCATGATAACTTAATAAGTGAGGCACCAACTTCCATTTTGGCGTGTGGCTACATCTAGACTTATGAAATGTTGCCACGTCAAAATCCAAGATGGCTTCCACTATATTTATATGGAAACTGACCTCTCCAATCATTTGAGGATACTACTCTTTCTAGTTTTTATTATGCTTAAAAGTATAGTTTTCTCAAATGATTAGGGTGGCCGAAGATGAATCTTTGTTGGTCGAGGCCACCATTGGCCACCCTGTGGCTCCTTCACTGCACTAGGTGGTGGATAAAATGGCTCCCTCCTCCCTCTAGAATCCATCCATCTTCAACCGCCTCTTCCTTTTCAGGTCACAGGGGTCATTTGTGTCCATATCCACTCACTGTCTCACTGTTTGAGAGGTGAGGGACACCTGGACAGGTCTCCAGTCCATCACAGACACACAGAGACAAACAACCATTCTCACACCTAGGGACAATTTAGAGTTACCAGTCAGTCTAACATGCATATTTTTGGTCTGGGGGAGGAAACTCACGCAACATGGCGAGAACATGCAAACTCCACCCAGAAAGGTCCCAGGCTAGGATTTGAACCGGTAACCTTCTCGCTGAGAGGCAACAGCTCAACCAACTGAGCCACCGTGCTGCCCCACTACAAATATCAACTTTTAGTGACGGAGACATTGATGTACCACTGGTTTTATTTCACTTGTTTTAAAGATGTTAAGAAAAATGACTGTACGTCATGCAGATCGTAGATTTTGAAAAACCGAAACTCGTTGGATCTAGTAGAGAGTAAACCAATGCTCCTCGTGGACTCCTCTTCTGTTCCCTCGCAGCGTCTGGGCTGTGACTACATGCTGGAGTCTCCTCAGCAGGAGGACGCCTGCTTGCAGTGTGGGGGGAACGGCCTGTCCTGTTACCTCGTTAAGAACAGCTTCACCGTGAGCGACCTGCCAACAGGTAAGATATTCACATTTCACACACCGCAGGTAGCCATAATCACATTACAAGAAACCACTGAACTGCCCCTGGCTATGTCTGAAGTACAACTAGTTTCAACATTTAGGAGACAACCCTTTGTTTAACAAGGTTCAGTCAGGACATCTGGATGTGACCTGACTGAATCTGGTTAGATTTTTCTACCTGGACTATTGAGCAGCATCAGCTCTTTGTTTCCTGACAAGCTGAAACAAAAAAAAAGAACATTAGTCACTTTGTGTATTTAAAGGGATATTCCCCAGTTAGATATTGTTAGATTCTTTAGCCTGTGCTTATCTTTGCTTTGCTTTACTCGCAGGCTACAACCAAATGTTCATCATCCCCGTTGGAGCTACGAGCATCAGCATCAAAGAGACCGAGGCCACACGTAACTACATTGGTGGGTTTTGGTAAACAAGAAACTGTATTTAAAAGTTCTTTACCCTGATAAACTTTTGACTGCCATGTATGAGCAGCCATCAAGAACCTGCGTGGAGAATACTACCTGAACGGCCACTGGGTCATTGAGTTTTCCAGAGCGGCACCCATTGGAGGCACCGTGCTCTACTACCAACGAGGGGCTGAAGGCGACAACGTCCCCGAAACAATCGTTGGCCGCGGTCCCACCACTGAACCGCTTGTTGTTGAGGTAACTTCTCTCGTAAAAGTTTTAACTTTTATACAATGATACGGGTCAGGGTATTTATTTATGAATATCTGAACAAACCAGAGGGAAGGGAAGCAATTTATTTAACTGATAAACCAAAGATAATTTATCAAACGTTCACTTTGAAGCCACATTTACTCCAACTATACCAAGACTTTTGTTCATCTCAAAAATCATCCCCTGTAATGAGCTTTGAGTAGATGTCAATAAATAATCATATACAAAGATTTATATTTACACGTTTTATAAACTTGAGGAATCAAGTTTAACATCCCTCAAAGCTCTGACTCTAAAGCTTCTCCTCAGATCGCCACAGTTTATCGTCCTCTGAAGGCTGAGCTGTGAAGATAAATCTGTCTCAAAAGTAGTCACACATTGTTCTTTACAATACAATAGCTCAACAACAATTTAATAAAAATAAAAAAAAGAGTTGGTCCTAAAACTGAGCCTTGTGGCACATCATTAGTGACCATAGCTAGACAATGCATCATTATGACAAACACATTGCTTCCGGCCTGATAGATCGTTTGAAACCAACAGTGTGATCTGAGAAACCAGTATCTGAGAGCTTATGGCATAAGATGTCACGGTCTACAGTATCAAAGGCTTTGGACAGGTCTAAGTAAAGTGCAGCACAGTAATCTTTAGCATTCAACACTTCAACAACATCATTAAAAACCTTTGGCGAAGCAGTCATTGTGCTGTGTCATTTCCTGAAGTCAGATTCGTGGGAAGATAAAATGTTAAAAAGAATCCATATACTTGACTTGAATATTTAACAGTTTTTCTAAAGCCTTAGCTAAAATACAGAGTTTGGAGATTGGTTGATAATTGCTGAGTATAGCTGGGTCTTCTCCCTTCAATAAAAATAGTATAAAAGTTGTTTTCCAAGTATCTGGAATAACATTATTTTGTATGGACATATTAGAAATGTATGACACTGGACACAAAATCCACAAATACATAACTAGTTATTCAAATATACACATTTCAAATTGCACGAGTAATAATATTCTATACAAATGATTCAATACACATGCACAAATCAACTGCTGTGCACGGATCAGCTGCTGGTGAACGTGACTTTTGAGACTTTCTTACTGCTCCAGATAAACAAAGGTAATGATGCGTTCAAGGCTGGAGGAAAGCTGGGACATTTGTGGATATATTTGTGCACCTGTGTAAATACTACTGACACGGATTTATCTTCATACAAAGCTCACAGGAACTGAAATGGACTGAACCAACTCAACATTAGGGAGGGAGTATAGAATGTAGGGCTTATTTTTTTTTAATGTTTTTAGTTTGTAACTAAGAAAATATTTAAATCAATAGACATACTTTTTTCCTTATTGCTAGGAGTGGCAACATGTTTTATGGTCCATAACGTGGGGTAATAAAAACTTAAGTTTGGGCCTCCACTATAAAACCTGAGGGACAGCTCCACCGGTTCATCCTCTGAGGACCATGAATCTGACTTCACCATCACTGCTAACTGATTTGTTCTATTTCATCGTCCCAGCTTATCAGCCAAGAACCGAACAAGGGGGTGGAATACGAGTATTACCTGCCAAATGGACGGTCCAGAGAGGGATACTACTGGAGCTACGGATCTTGGTCTACTTGCAGCAAAGAATGTGGATCAGGTCAGACTGTAACGCCAGGTGTGTCCGCTTCAAACACCCAGGTGTGCTGAAGAAACTGATCTCAGATCTGTGTTTTCTCATCAGGTTACCAGACCCGCGTCATCTTCTGCACCATAGACAACGAGTCCTATCCAGACTACCTCTGTGCTTCTCTGCCAAGACCACAGTCCAACCGCACCTGCAACCCCCACCCCTGCCCCCAGATTCACAGGTGAACAGGCCCCGACCCCCATCCCTGCTTGTCGTGACCCCTGACCTTGTATTAACATGACTTGTCCTGAATCTGTCTTCAGTTTCGAGGAAATTTAAAAAACTGAAAAAAGAACAAAGAAACTGAAATTAGCAGAAACGTTTTTAACAGCTCAAAGGGTTTGAAGGATGTGGAGAGGTCTGTTAATTTTCAATGAGGAAAAGATGGCTGACAAAGCTAAATGTTTCAAAAAGTAAATATTGCACAAGTACCAAAAGTCACAGCAGGAACATCCTGAAGGAGCTTTGATTCATGAACTGTAGAAATAGAACAAAAATGAACAAGTTGCGTTCTGATAAACACCCAGAAGATACGCTGATCTAATTCAATTCAGTTTATTTCTGTAGCTCCAAGTCACAACGGAAGTACCAGTAGTCTCAGGACACTGAACAGAAACATTCACAGACATTATGAAAGACAATTAGTAAAAGTTCTCTATCTAAGAAAGCAAGCAGTAAGTGAATCTTCACTTCATCACAGTCTCATCCTGAGCAAGAACAAAGGGGACAGTGGAAAGGAAAATCCCCCTTTCAACAAGAAGAAACCTCCAGCAGAAGCAGGCTCAGGATGAGCGGTCATCTGCTTGGACCAGCTGGGTTTGAGAGGACATGAAGGAGGAACAGACACAGAATGACACGTCCAGGTGTAGTTTCTATAGTCCAGGTGTACTTTCCATAGGAGGCAAGACAAAAAACACATTAAGATAGAAATAATTACAAATACAAACAGCTAGAGTGGAGTAAGTAAAGAAGCAGCAGAGAGAGGAAATGTGGTCAATTTGTCCTCCAGCAGTCTAAACCTATAGCAGCATAACTAAGGGATAGCTCAGGAAACCCAAGCCAACCCTAACTATAGGATTTATCAAAAAGGAAAGTATTAAGCCCAGTCTTAAAACTGGACAATGTGAGTCTCACAGACAGAAACTGGAAGTTGGTTCCACAAGAGAGGAGCCTGATAACTGAAAGATCTTCCTGCTTCATTCTGCTTTTAGAAACTCTAGGAACCACAAGTAAACCTGCTGTCTGAGAGAGAAGGGCTCCGTTAGAAAAATATGGAACAATAAGATCTCTAATATGAGATGGAGCTAGGTAGTTGAGAGCTTTGTAGTTTTGCAGTAAGATTTTGAATTAAATTCTGGATTTGACAGGGAGCCAATGGAGAGAACTAAAACTGGAGAGATATGATCTCTTCTACTAACTCTCATTAAAACTCTGGCAGCAGCATTTTGGATTAACTGAAGACTTTTTAAAGAAGTGTTTGGACACCCAGATAATAAACCATTGCGATAGTCCAGTCTAAATGTGACAATTGCATGAACCAGTTTTTCTGCATCATTTTTAGATAAGATGTTTCTAATTTTAGTGATATTACGCAGGTGGAAGAAGGCAGTTCTAGTAACGTTTAAATGTGGGGAATAAAAGACATGTCCTATCAAAAATAACACCAAGATTTTTAACATTAGAGCTGGAGGACAGATTAATGCCATCTAAGGAGGAAGAAAGACTGAAAAATTTATTCCTAAGATGCTCAGGTCCAAAAACCAAAACCTCAGTTTTGTCTGAGTTTAAAAGGAGAAAATTAAGTGTCATAGTCTTTGACTGGATTCATTGGGTTTCTTGGACAAATATAACTGAGTATCATCAGCATAACGATGAAAATTTATCCCATGTTGTTTAGTAACTCTACCAAATGGAAGCATATACAAAGTAAAGAGTATTGGTTCAAGCACTGAACCCTGAGGAACTCCATGACTAACTTTGGTGTATGAAGAAGATTCATTGTTTACATTTACATCTCAGTGGAGTGAATGATTTAAGCAGTCTGGACTTTGGGAAAAACACATAGCAACAAAACCATCTCTATTTCCTCATATGGTGTTTTTAATGTTAATTTACTGACTTTCAGCTGGAGGACAGGGGAGTGGAAGCCGTGCTCAGCCACCTGTGGTGGAGGCTCTCAGGTGCGAACGGTGCAGTGCATTTCCCATGATGCCTCTGGTCCCCGTGTGGTGGAGGATGCGGTGTGTGCTCCCTCTGCTGCAGCTCCTCCGTCTCTGCGGAGCTGCAACGTGCACAGATGTGCAGAGTATCGTGTGACTGGATGGAGCGCGGTAAGTGAACTCTATGCCTCAGTACAAATACCGATGTACCTGTCTGTTAGCAAAATATCTCAAACCATGAACACAGATTTTATTTAAACTCTCTGAAAGTAATCAGTGGAAGATTATTCTTGTATTTATAGATTTATAAAACTGATCACATGAGAAATGATAACCTGATGCTTGAAGATAACTCGCCTCGTTTTCAGTCTGAATGTCTGATTATTCAAATAAAAGTGTGTGTGTGTGTAATGTGTGTGATGTGTGTGTGTGCGTGTGTGTGTGTGTGTGTGTGTGTGTGTGTGTAGTGCTCAGTGACCTGCGGCTCAGGGGAGCAGACTCGGGAGGTGACCTGTGTGGGATCAGCTGGTCTGAAGCTCGAGGAAACCTCCTGCAGGACTTTGCTGCGTCCCCCTGCCGTGCAGCCGTGCAAGATGCCCGCCTGTCTCCATCAGATCCAGTGGCTCGTGGGGGTGTGGGGTCTGGTGAGTCCTTGTGTGGCCCCCTGAGACGTTACTCCACCTTCTGTTGAAGTGACAAACACTGACCCGGGGGAACCTGTTTGGACTTTTCTGCAGTGCTCTCAGAGCTGTGGCTCAGGCTCACGAGAGCGCCGGGTGATCTGCTCAGACCAGGAGAGGAATCTGTACCCCGTGGACCAATGTGCCCCCCACCCTAAGCCCCCCACAGTGGAGCGATGCAACATCCAGTCCTGTTTCCGCCCCCAGGGTAAGCCTCGTCATCCTACAGTCTGAATGTTTCGTACTGGTGAACGCATATTAATTAAAGTTTAGTTCATGCAGACTGTGCTGATGTAGCAAATAAACTGTTCCTCCCTTCAGAGATGATTTTTATGAAGATCTTTCTGTCAGAACCGGAGAACAAAGTTTCATCATCATTTTTCCTGGTCACTAGAAGAATCAAACCATTCTGGACTGAAATTGAACATTTTCAAAATCACATATTTACCAGTAAAAAATAAAATGTACTCATTTATTAGCAAGTTGTAAATAAGTAGCTCTTAAACACTGAAAATCACAAAAACTTCATGAAAACAGTTTGATTCTGGAAACTGGTGGAGTTCAGAACCTGCACTAAAACATTTTACAGCACCAAGCTTTCTAAAAACCAGAAGGATGAATGAAACAGGCAGAGTTAACTGCAGTAAAAGTTTTAAATAAAATAAGTGCAGTGTTTGGGGAGAGCAGCAGCCAGACTGTCTGCAGCGTGGCACAGAATTGATACATTACAGGTGAGGTTCCTACCTGCAGAATAAACACAAATATACACACGTAGGTTGTGGGGGTGGGAGGAGGGAGAGGCTGTGCCCTCAGTCTGGCTCTATGTCGTAACGGCCCTGGTGGAAGAGCAGCAGGGAGTGGATGGTCATCCATGTTTTCCTCTGTCCGGTCGGCCTCGCCATAGTTTGAGGGTTCTGTTGACCCACAGTGTTGTCTGACAGGTGAAGTTAATGTTGATCCTCAGACTTTTATTCTTCATTCAAAAATCTGCTGAAGCTTGTCTGTCAGTGTGAACGGAGCAGCTGCTCCACCGAGCAGGGACCTGGACTTGTGAGGTCGTCTGCCAGCTGCTTCTTCTGGATCCTAAATCTCTCCGAGTCGAGACAGCATTAATAATTCCTGCTGCATGTTTGTCACCGCCCTGTTCCATTTTGAGTCCAGTCTCTACCACAAACAATGGCAAACAGTCAAACAACAACACAACTTAATTGTTCTGTTTTCTATTGTCTGCAGCTGTCCCCAGCATCCAGGACCCTCGAGGACACAACGACTCCCAGACCGGCTTTCAGCCATACGTACCAGATCAGGAAACAGGTTAGCCTCCATCTAACATCTCATGAGGAGACCTTCAGCATCATTAATCACTTTAGTTGGACTGGATGTGACAGTTTACCACAGCAGTTTTGTCCTTATTGATGAATAAGAAACAATATGATACTTTTTCAGTTGTTTGAGGTTTTGGTCAAGATAGGCTCAGCAGAAGCAGGTCCACCAGAACCTGATCAGACCTGGGTGTGTGTTGAGTGGTTGTCTGGTGGCCTGTATGGTCTGCTTTTTGCTTCAGCTGCAGTCAGCAGCAATCCCTTTTCACAGGACTTTACCGCTAATTCCTGAATCTCTTTACAGCCTTGTGGTTAAAACCTCTGCAGACCTCTTCCAGACTCACCTTCACCTTCCAGTCCTGCTCCTCATCCTCAGCTACTGGATTAACCATCCACAGTCTTTTCCTTCTAGACGCTTCATTAATATCAGTTACAAGAAAGTAATTTATTTAAAAAAACTGTAGAAACACCACAAAATGTTACAAAAGTACAGATAACAAATGAAGTCGTCCAACTCTGCTTGAGTGGACTGTCAGGGAGTACAGCTGAGTCTTTAACAGCACCGACAGTTTTAAAGTTTGAATATATCTTATATAAATGGGTAAAATATTAAATAAAACTGGAGCATCATCTGTAATCTGACAGCCTTGACCTTTAAGTTTAGCTCTTGGAGCATCTAAAAGCATCTGGTTGTTGGTCCTCATGATTCCATAAATAGTGTTTAAAAACCGGTACATCAATGACCCCCATCCCTGATGGATTTAAAGAGTGAATGTTTGTAGTTTTAGAGATTAGAGTTTTACTGGACTGCACAGGGGATGAAAGTAAACATAAATGTTTCTGGTGCAAGATATTCAAGTGGGGAGGACTTACACCTATGAATGCACACTCCTGCCTGATCCATGGTGTGACGTCATCAGCCTTTGATAATTGGCCATGTGCTCGGGTGTTTTCTGAACTGGCTTGTTTAAGGATTTAAGGATGGCTTGAATGCTAAGAAAACATGAAACCATTGTACCAAAGTTCATGCTCAAGTATCCAGGTAAAAATCCAACAATGTTCAGTCAGGTCATCTGGACGGTTTCTTTTTTTGCGGAGACGTTTCGTCCTTCATCCAAAAGACTTCTTCATTCTGAGGAGCCCACCAACAAACTGTGCCCTGAGACGAAACGTCTCAGCAAAAAAAAAGAACCGTCCAGATGACCTGACTGAACATTGTTGAATATAACCATTGTATTTTAGGACAGTAACAGACGCCTTACGAGCACTTCAGTGACTACAGTGATGGACTTTAAATGTTACAGTAACATTGTGTGAGACTCTGCTGCGTAAAAACAATGGACTATGAATTCAGTTTGTGTTTGCTATAATAAAAAACTGTTTGGTTTTGTTTCAGCCCGCTGGCCAGAGACAAGATATCCCACCCAGGTAGAAACAGTCCAGAGTCCTCAGAGTTCTGCCCCTGCCCTCCACTGCAGCCAGTCCCAATATGGCTGCTGCCCAGATGGGCGCACTGCAGCTGGAGGAACCCGAGGTCTGGGCTGCCCACAAGACCCAACTCCTGCTCCACCGTCCTGCATTCAGACAAGGTACTCTCTATGTAACTATCATTCCTCTGTGGTTTATGTCCCCATAACACACAGAGCTGCTTTTAGACGCTTCGTCTGGGTCTCACACCGTGCAGATCATGCTAACCACACAGATCATGCTAACCACACTGTGCAGATCATGCTAACCACACAGATCATGCTAATCACACAGATCATGCTAACCAAACCGTGCAGCACCAGAAATATTCTTGCCAGCCGTAATGAGCCTGGTGTTCTTTAACAAAATGTCAGAGTTGCACATTTTGTATTTTTGCTCAAAGTTTTAGTCCATATTGATTTTTTTTTCCTGCTTCTCTTCTGTTTGTTAGTTATGGTTGCTGCCAAGATGGTGTGACGGCGGCTCAGGGCCCCAACAAAGAGGGCTGCATGGAGTACGAGGCCCCGGCACCCACTGTAGGCAGTTCAACACACATGAAAGGAAATATGCATGTAAAAGCAACAAGACTGACAGAATATTATTTACTGTTTTACTCCAGGTTGTCCCTCTTCCTACTGAGAACGCTGTTGAGTGCCGCACCACCACCTTTGGGTGCTGCTATGACCGAAAAACTCCTGCAGGAGGACCCAACGGGGAGGACTGTCCCAACCCACCCAGCCACAGTGAGACAAACTGAAACACCTTGTTTAACGTTGTGCAGTCACTCCTGCTTTTATCTTCATAAACAGCAACCTCTGAGGAAAATAATTTATGGATGTGCTTCCTAAACACACATTCCTGCTATGGATTATTCAGAAGTTATTACCAAGAGCTAAACAATTATTAAATAAAAATTGTTAACCTTTTAAAACAAAATTAAAGTCAAGTGATCTGACAAAACTTCCCCTCGGTGAGGTTCAGTGGCAATTTTAGCCTCTTTTTGGGAGTTAGGGACATCACAGTGGCCAGCAATACTTAAAAAAATGTTAAATAGATTCTTTAACAAGAAATTTCAATTAATAATTTATTAACTTATAGCAATTTTACCATAAAAATTGTAAAAATAAACTAAATCTGGGCCCCGTTTCAGATTTAAAGAAATGCATTTTTAGTTCCCACTTCACCAGATTCTACTATAACCTAAACTAATGTTTTCTGAAGTGTACGTGCACAGTGCTGCTTTGTACGTGCACACTGCTGCTTTGTGAGTCACTCGTTTTCAGATGAAAGATCTGAGTTGAGAACAAACGTTTTTGTCTTTCCAGTTGAGCGTTCGATCTGCTCCCTGCCCCGTGCTGCTGGCTCCTGCACTAACTGGGTGCCACGATACCACTTTGATGTCATCACATCCAAGTGTGCCCACTTCTGGTACGGAGGTTGCCACGGCAACAGCAACAGCTTCATGACCAGAGGAGAGTGCCAGAGGGCGTGTCCGGCGCCTGCACAGCAGAGGCCACAGCCGACCGCGCCCGTCAGAGAGTCCCCGTCTGCAGCGGTGTCAGCTCCATCTGCGGGCTCAACCAGCGGGCGCTCACACAACATGGGGAGGGTGTTCATCGTGCAGGGGGGCTCACACGGCACCTCCAGCAGACAGGCCACCAGTGCCGCCACACACGCCCACAGAGGTCGACTGTCTCTGCGAGTCCGCAGGCCTTCAGTTGCCACAGCTGCTCAGCACCGTGAGCCAGCTGCGAGGTAAGAACCCAAAGACGGGAAGATCTGAGCTCCAGCCTCCCCCCGTCCGCTCCACCACCACTGCTGGCTTCAGAGAGCTGTTCACAGCCGTTTTATCACAGCTGAAAAGACCCGGTTCACAGATTCTCTCCAAAATCCACCCTGCTTTGGTCCGAGGGTGGAGTTTGATCTTTGTGTCAGATGGACACTCAGGTTCTGTCAGTCAGTGGTTCTTCTCAAACCTTCCTGATCAGACCTGAAAAATGAGCTCAGCAGAAGCTTGTGACCCAAACGTTCACCAGCTTACGGGTTAAAGCTTCGCACTCAACCTGAACAACCACTATAATTTTATTGATGTATACATTTTGTTTTATATCAATGCTGATGAAAATATGCTGATAGAAATTTGATTTCTGAACATTATCTGAGGACCCCTACTTGGTGTTTCATGACCCACGGTGGGGTTCAGTGCACAGCTTTAGGAACCACTGCTGTAAGTCGTAAGTTTATGTTCAACAGGTCTAAAAACAACTATATACTGTAATTATTAACTTACAGTAAAGTATATACGTTTTCTCAAATGTTTGACCCATCACGTCAAACCGTGAATTGTTTTTTTTATTTATATATTTATTTATTTTAATTTCCCCTTATTTAACCAGGCATGAACACTAAGAACACATTGTTATTTACAGAGCTGGACTGGTATGGTCAAGGGAAGGGAAACAACACAGTTAGACAAAACATTAAAATATAGAAGTCAATAACAAACAAGGAAACACAAAATTACATTAACAGTTAATTGTCAAAGTCAAACAATAACATTACTAAGCTTGAAAACATTTGCAAGTATCTTTAAAAACAGCTTTTAAACGATTTTTAAAACTAGAAACTGGGACAAGTGAGGTCAGACCCAAAGTTTGTTGAAGCAGATTCCAGTCAGATGGAGCAGCAGAGCCAAAGCCAGACTTGGTCTTTACAGTTGTTAACCACAAATACTGAGAGGATCGAGTGTTATACTTTGAAACCGGTGCTAGTTGCAGTAGAGGAGTTAAATATGGAGGTGAATAACCAGCAACATCTTATAAATGAGGGTAAATCAATGAATTTCACAACGAGTATGTAGAGAAGGCCATTTAACGAGAGGGTAGAGATGATGATGATCTATAAGGAGCATTTGTAACAAAGCAAATAGCAAAGTGCTAAATTGTGTCCAGCTTACGAAGGACACCCTTACAAGCATGTCTTTAAATTATGTCTCCATAATCCAATAGACGTAGAATGTTTATTTCAACAATGGTGCGTTTTGCAGCCATCGTAAATGAAGGCTGATTTCTTTATAGATAACCAAGTCTCACTTTAACCTTAGATTGTAAAACATTAACATGATGTGAAAAGGACAGAGCACCATTGATCCAAATTCCCAAATATTCATAAACTGTTACCTCTTCTATAATATCACCGTTTACAGTGGTTAAGCCCACTGAGGTGGGTATGGTTCCTCCTCCATGACCGAACCACATAATTTTAGTTTTATTGGCATTTAAGGACAAATTTAAGTCAGTAAAGATCTGCTGGATTTCAAGAAAACTACATGCAAGAGACTTCACAACCTCGTCTGGAGTAGAACCAAAAGCATATAAAATAGTGTCAATGGCATATAAGTGAATGGAGGCCTCACTAACAGAACGCAAGATATCATTTATAAATATGGAGAAAAGAGTTGGACCAAGAATAGAGCCTTGGGTTACACTTGACATAACCAGAATAAACTAAAGTATGGGAGTCAACCTTCACTTGCTGCGACCTATTTGAAAGATAATTACAGAACCAAGTTGCAAGTTTGTGTAGTGACATTCAGCTATAGTGCTTATCTATGAATGAACTATTTGAAATATAATCTTAAAGGCTGTTTTGAAGTATTTCTCTGAGCATTATCAAGAACCAACTGTAATTTTGAACCAAAAAAGCCTTAAAATTTGTCCTTACTCTCCTCTGCGTGCTAATGAAACTATTTTCAACACCAGCTGGGAAATCCTGATATCCAGATCTAGTTTGAGGTTTCTTTTTTCAATGACATCAAGGAATCCTCATCAGAATTTTGAGAAATATGATTCAGACTGGTGCCCTGTGATGGACTTGCGACCCGTCCAGGGTGTACCCCGCCCCTCGCACAGTGATTGCTGGACATGGGCACCAGCGACCCCCGTGACCCAAAATGGAACAAACGGGTAAAGAAAATGGATGGATGGATGGATTCAGACTGGTTTTACTGGGGTTATCCTTATCATAGAGAGACATCTCTGGAACCGATGTAGCTTTAAAAGCCAGGAATCTGAAAATGTTTTCAGTTTAGTTTGACCAAATTAGATTTAATCCCAGATTTGATGTGATGGGTCACACGTTTGAAAACAATTTATAAATATTAGATAATGATAATTGATATGTGATTTAAACTTTGATCTTGCTGCAGTGTTGAATGAACGCCACAGAAAGAACATAATCCTTTTTACTTTGTTTTGTACATTATTGCTGTAAATCTTGTATTCTGCTTGCTTCATGTAACGTCACCTGATTTTTCGCCGTCCTTCTGGTGAAGCTGATGTCATCAACGCTCACGTTTTCCAGCTGCATCTAGCTCCACATGCTTTATTTAACAAAACCACACCTTCCTTACCTGGACACAAGCGCACAGCAGCTTAATGCTTTTTGGACTCTTCGGTGTTTGTCTGCGTTAATGTTGGTTCTTGTTCATGTCTGTTAATTGTCCTTGGGCTCTGTGGTTTTATAACAATGTCTTTAGATCCAACTAATAAAACTGTCGCTGTGATACAGTCATCAGGTGTGTGTTGTCACTAAACTTGTTATTTTGTTGTGTGAATCTTTTACAGCTGTGACTCTCAAACCTTTCATAAACGGCACAAACTCAGAAAATACTAACCTGTCCGAGCATCCCCGCTATGACAGATGTTAGGAGCTTTCACTTAGTGACAGCTGCTGTGCATAGATATTAGTGGGGCGGACATTAATTTCCTGAATCAATAACCACACAAATTTTACAAATTATGTTACATTTTCTGTAAAAAAAAACAAAAAAAAAAACACACACAACAAACAAATGGCTTATTTGTTGCTTAATGTTTGATTCTTTTTTTTTTTTGTACAAAGGTATCGCCTTTTTATCCCTCCCTCTGGTCAAGGTTGTGTGTTGTGAAAACAGTCTGGTCTAATAATTAAATCAGATAAATAGGTGCCTACCACCTCCACCTGGAATGCGAGGGTTTAAACCCACAGATACATGATTACAAGCCTGCAGCTTTGGTCCAAGAGGTCCCATTTTTGGTCTCTCCTCTGTCCTCCTCAGTCTTCAGAGTTCTGTTCAGGTCCCCACTGTTTGCTCCAAATTAGATTTAAACAGAATATCTCCACTGTTGGACTCAGTAGGTTTCACTGTAGCTATTTCTGCATTTGATGAGCTCACGTCTGGTCTAGTATTAGTGGTGGTTGAATCAATGAGCTAAAACCAGCCGAACGTGTCCACATGGCAGAATATTGTCCATCCCAATGAGACTATTGGACCTGCGTGTTCGAATCACTGCCGACAGGATGGGATATGATAAATAGTCTGATAAATCCACGTGATGGACGCCGTTGGTGAACTGTACCCCCTAACTGCAAATGAGTAAAACACAGACAGAACCACAAAAAATTTTTTTATTCCATTTAAAATTGTCAAAATAGCTGAAAAACACAGCACAAAACAATGCACAGCAAGCTAAGTAAATAAGTATTTACACTATTTATATGGAGGAAATACCATGTGGGGAAAAAGACTCTTAAGGATCCAAACTCAAACTGTTTGGATCAATTAACCACCTGGATCTGAAGAGTCCACCTAACCCTGATTGAGGGCTGAGGGTCAAGATGTGACAGTTCCATGCATCCATTGCAGTCCTGGCTCTTCCTCTGTCTCACAAAACAAATTTAAGATAACGAGAACATTTTGCAGTTTTGTTCCGTTAACTGCCAACCGGTCATAAGGAGACTTCTTTAGTGCTGCTTTAGAAGCCTTTAGTACCTTAATAAACCATTGTCCACCACTCCCCACAAGTATTATAAGTGTATATATAAATAAGAAATTGGGAGTTTTCCTGTTTAAGTGTAACAAAAAGGACCTTTAATGATGAGGTGTTAAGCCTACAACTCAATGATGAACATTTGAAATGTTTCCCAACTGTACCTGAAGCATCCACCTTGATAAAATGCTGCATATAAACAATTGAGTGGTCATGTTTTAATTAATATAATGAAAGAAAGAAGCCACATATGGTCAGTCACTTAGAACTAAACATGAAACTCTGGTACGGTTATGTCAAATAACTGATGACGTCTCAGCATCCATTTTAAGTATTTAACTCAAAGAAATGTACTAGCAGGCCACTAGGTCCATACTACATAATAAACTAAAATAAACAAAGATCTGACAGTTATAAAAGTACAATATGATGAGCTTTTGGATAAACTATTTTCCACTTGGCTGCGCCTAAATTTCTTCAGAGGACCGCTACAGGGATCCTGGTCATGATCAGTGGGACCTGCACGGCAGTTTAAGAACCATGGATCGACAGCTTGTTTTAAAAAAGGAGTTTGGGAATGTGTTCGATACCGTGAAAAACATTTGTCTTTGACTTTTTGTCATTTAGTTTTTATTTTACTTTAAAGTCAGAGTTTGTTGTGCCCCATTGTGGACCAAAGAGGGGAAATGGAAATACCCTCCGTTCCTCCATCCGTGCACATTGTGAGCATGAGAACGTGAATTATATATGAGATACCAACATCCTAATGGATGGTGTGTGGCTGCATCTATGCATAAGGAAGGTTCCTTTTGAAAACTGTGTTTTCACGTCAAAATCCAAGATGGCTGCCTCCATATATACACTGAACATAAATGTGACACTTTAGTTTTGGCTCCCATTTTTCATGAGCTGAACTCAAAGCAAACCAGTCAGTATCTGGTGTGACCACCATTTGCTTCACGCAGTGAAATATCTCCTTCATATAGAGTTGATCAGGTTGTTGATCGTGGATTGTTGGTCCACTCCTCTTCAATGGTTGTGAGAAGTTGCTGGATATTGTCAGAAACTGGAACATGCTGTTGTATACGCTGATCCAGAGCAATCCAAACATGCTCAATGGGTGATACGCCCAGTGAGTATGTTTGCCATGGAAGAACTGGGATGTTTTCAGCTTCCAGGAGTTGTGTACAGATCCTTGCAACATGGAGCCATGTGTCATCACGCTGCAACATGAGGTGATGGTCGGGGATGAATGGCACAATAACGGGCCTCAGGATCTCATCACGATCACGGTGTGTCTGTGCATTCAAAATGCCATCAATAAAATGCACCTGTGTTCCTTGTCCATAACATACACCTGCCCGTACCACAACCCCACCGCCACCACGGCCTCTCGATTCACAACATTGACATCAGCAAAACGCTCACTCACACGATGGCATACACCCAGTGTGCCATCTTCCCTGCAATGAAAACCAAGATTCATCCGTGAAGAGAACTCCTCTCCAACGTGCCATGCACCATCGAATGGGAGCATTTACCTGCTCAAGTCGGTTACAACAATCGACCGCTGTGAGGTGGAGACTCGGATGAGGAGCAGCAGATGAGCTTCCATTTTCTGACAATTTATGAAGAAATGCTTCGGTTATGCAAACCAATCATTGCAGCAGCTGTCCAGATGATCCTGGAGGTGAAGATGATGGATGTGGAGGTCCTGTGCAGATGTGGTTACACGAGGTCTGCAGTTGTGAGGCCGGTTGGATGTTCTTCTAAATCTGCTGAAACGCCTTTGGAAGTTTCAGATCGTGCATCAACATGCCTCTAGAGACGGCTTATGGAAGAGAAATGAACGTTCAGTTCACGGGCAACAGCTCTGGTGGATTCCTACAGTCAGCATGCCAACCGCACCCTCCCTCAAAACTTGCAACGTCTGTGGCATCGTGCTGTGTGATAAAACTGCTCGTTTTAAAGTGGCCTTTTATTGTCAGTCTAAGGCACACCTGTGCAATCATCATGCAGTCTAATCAGCATCTTGATCTGCCACACCGGTGAGGTGGACAGATTATAAGTTCTCACTAGCACTAGCACAATTTACACACATTTGAGAACAATATTTGAGAGGAAGGCCCATTTTGTACGCAGAAGAAGTCAAGATCTTTGAGTTCAGCTCATGAAAAATGGTGTGTGGCTACATCTAGGTGTAAGAAAGGTCACTCCAAAACTGGGTTGCCCCATCATACATACCTACTTATCTTATTATGTGAGGAAACTATTCTTTATTTCTCCCTCTTCTCCAGGTTCAGTCGCTCTGCTCTGCCTCGGACAAGCAAAGAATAAAACCTCCGTCTGTTCTTCTCCACAGTGAAACTCCCCCAAACTTTAATATCTTGAAACAAAACATGAAGGTTTATTTTCATTCTCTGTTCAGTTTCAGTCCAGAAAAACACTCATTTTGATAACTACAAATGTTCACTCTTAGAGCTCTCATCGACGTAACGCTTGTTCTGTTGCATTTGGGAGGAAGTTGTTGTGTACCGTTTGTGCTGCATGACTTCTTTGTGTGGATTCTTCTCATCTGTTTCACAGCTTCTTCACACCATGTTGAGTTCTGATTTTATGCTTGCTTTGTGGACCAACAGCAGAGCATAAAGTGACTTATTCTCTTCAAATCTTTCTCCCACATTCTCCTTCTCTACTTCTTTCTTTTTTTCTTGGATCTTTTCCCCAGTTTGACCCTTGGAGGTCTCAGCATCGATAAAAGTGAGCCGGACACAGTGGAGGCTTTGGTGGGTCAGACCGTTGTGCTGCCCTGCAGAGTCAGCCCTCCACCTTCATCCATCGTCACTGTGGAGTGGAGACGAGACGGACTTCCTCTGTCCATTCAGAGGTCAGCTCTAAAACTCTACGTCTTCCACTTTTCATATAATGTAGCTCTGATTTAAAGTGTTTGGTGCCATTTTGTTTGCGATTTCATCAGACATCACCAGCAGCCCGACGGTTCCCTGTTGGTGGGTCCGGTCCTGACTTCGGACTCTGGCTGGTTCTTGTGCTTGGCCACTCGAGAAGGAGAACGAGATCACCGTTACATTTACCTGTCTGTCACAGGTGAAACTCTATGTTAGATTTGTTTTAATTTTGTGAAAAAACAAAGCTGCTCGTTGTCTTAATTGTTGTAGATTTCCAGGGTTTACATCCAGGGATGATAAACTCTGAGAGACTTTTGTTTTTTACAAGTGACTGGTCTACTTTTCTTGTTTGTGAAGATGATCCACATCTCATCCACAATTAACTTTCTTTGCTCCAGGGGCAGAGCCAGAGGGGGTGCTGGGGTGGCACCTGATTGACCACCACAAGTGCCACCCCAGTTGATTGTCAAGTTACATGTGGCACTGAAAGATGTGCAAGTAGAGTAAATGATGACAAATTATTGGTTTGTGAGCTTTTTTTATTGCAAACTATTTTTTTTAAATCCAAACCAGGTGGATTGTAAATCAGAAAATAATTTGAGAAAACAGGATCATCACTTTTAACTGATATTTTGTAAACTGAAATAAATTTCAAAAAATCTATTTGTTTTAAGTTAACTCATTGATAAGGCACAATTGTATAGTCCTGTCCAAATAACAAACAAACAAAATCTTACGATAGGGTAACCAATGAATACATCTTAAATTCCTGGAAAAATAATTTCTAAAATCTGAAATTACAAATATGTTTGTCCGAGTGATGATCTATGACAGGACTTTAGTCTGCCTATCAACAAGAGCATTTGAAATAAAGAAAATGTAAGAAACGTTTCAAAAATTAGAAATTACTAATACTTCTGTTAAACCAGGGACAGGATGTCCAACCCCTAAGCTGTTGGCTTCAGTAACTTTGACCCCCTGAGCCCTTTAGTTGAACAGCCAACCCAAATGGGTTTTGAAAACTGTCACGAATGTTCTTTTGGTACCAGGTTCTAGGACCAGAATAGTTTCATTTATTTGTATGTGCCCCCCTGAAAAAGCCTTGGCCACCCCTTGCAGAAAAGTCTGTCTCCGCCCCGTTAGCTCAAAGGAAAGCATGTGGACCTCCAAGTGTTGAACCTGCAGTGAGTTGCTCTGATTTTTATGAAAATCACTTGTTCCCTCACTCCTGAGTGTCGTTAGTCTTTATTGACTCATTAGAGATGTTTGGTCTCATGGTGGACTGAAGAGGAACTAATGAGGTAAGCTCTGAACCACAGTCATTTGTTGGTCTGGTCCATATCGCTCATGTGGTCCAAGTGTCATGTTCCTATTTGAACAACCCTTCAAAGGGAAGGGAGGAAAAGGGATTTGCATACAAGTTCAGCTCACATGCAGACAGAGCCAAAAACTGAGCGCCTCACTGCATTTTAAGTTTTTTTTAAGTTCCCTAAAAATGTGAACTCAAAATGTGTTTTTCCCCAGACCTACTGGAATTACTTAAGTGTTCTGATAAGTTGATGGAGAAGCCCTCCCAGTTCCTGAAAAATATACTCTGTTTCTCTGACGGTCAGCTCTGTGACGTTCTGCAAGTTGTTCTTCATACTAACGATGTGTTGTTTTATGTTTTAATAATCAGAACGAGATCCTCAGCTGGTTCCTTCCTCGCTGCCCAAAGATGAAACGTTCCCACGGTAAGAACATCCACAACATCAACATACTTGTGTAAGCTGAAATATTCCTGATGTCTGGTGTTTTATGTCCACTGTGTGAGGTTATGAAAGCTTTGAGCACTTGTGCGTGTTCCTCAGGTTCAGCATCGAGCGCTCAGGCTCAACGATGATTGAAATGCGACCAGGACAAACTGCGTCTCTGTCCTGCACCGTCGTCCCTCCTGCAGCTCTGCAGTATGTCCGGGTTCAGTGGGTTAAAGATGGACGACCTCTCAGCAACTCCAGGTATGAACTGTCCATGACTTGTTCCTCTCTGTGTCTCTGGGAAACTGAGCACTCATTATCCGTTTTGCCCATTTTCATTTTGTGCACAAAATCGGATTACGGTTCGTAATCCGATTTATCGGTTTATGATTCGTTATCAGATTGTTCATTTTGGTTTAATAAATGGAAAACAAAAAAACAAGTGTGCTTTTGTTTTTTTTTTCATTTTTTGTTTCAAACAAAAAAATGAACTGCCTGAATGTACACGAACCCTGGAGACTTGACCAGGGTCCCCTCGTCTCTTGCACAGGGACTGCTGGAGATAGTTTGAGATTTGCAAATCGTCTCATTCTTGTTTCATTTACATTTTGCAAAATGTTCCAACTTTTATGGAACTTGGGTTGTACAAGAAAAAAGTATAAAAACAGGAGAAAAAAAAAAACAAAAAAAAAAGGGGCAGTGGTGGTACAGAGTTGTTTCTACCTACAGTCACAGGAAAAAATGTCCACCTGTTTTACTTCCTGGGTTTAACATCTTAAGACTAATAGAACTATTTGGTTTTATCCACCAGATTTCAGAGGTTCAGGATCAGCCAGAAAGTTCTGAGCAAAAGTATTGATTAACTGATTATCATCATTGGCACCACCTTTTTAAAAGCACCAGTTTTTGCTGCCATGGAGCATCCAGATGTGTGCCAGCACAATGCCAAGGTGGAACAACATCAACAATGACCTTAGAGAAGCAACTGTTGCTGCCCACTTATACGTATTCAGATATTTCAATAAACAATCAATCATTTAGAAAACAGCTTTAAACAAAGATGCTGCTGCTCTGCAGGGTTACCCAGGATTTAGATGGCACCCTGATGATCGGCCCTCTGCAGTCCGAGGACTCTGGAGTCTACACATGCACAGCTGCCAGTCAGCAACAGCTGGAGCAGAGACAGCTGAAACTCAAAGTTCAAGGTTAGAGCTCCATGAACACATCCAACTGTTCACATCCTCTTAACTCCACAAACGTTTTTATTTTCCATAGTCACCCGATGTGTGGGGTAAATGTTGACTTCCTGCAGATGCTCATAAAATCAGATAAAAAAGGAGTTATGGTATTTATTAATCATAAAAAGTGACAAGAATTACTTCTTAAGAAGATATAGATAATAATGAAGTAATTGTGAAAGTCCTTTGTTTTCCTTGTCCTACAGATCTGCGGATCACCAAAGCTCCTACTAACATCCAAGTACCAGAAGGCAGCACGGCTCATCTGCCCTGCGTGGTGTCAGGAGACAACATCAGCATAGGCTGGTCCAGGTACTACAGAATTCAGCAAACTTTCAGCTACACACAATGGCCACCTTGATGGTACCAGGTTTGACCCATCTGCCTTCAGAACTGCCTTAATCCTTTATGTCACAAATTCAACAAGATGTTGGAGACATCCCTCAGAGGTTCTGGTCCATATGGACATGTTAGAATCAAGCTGTTGGTAAAGATTTGTCAGCCGAGCATCCACGATTTGATTCTTCAGATCCACCAAATCCCGAAGGTACCGATTGGACCTCTAGACCTTTCTGATGACCTTGTAGGCCATGAGTCTGAACTGTAGCCTTAGTTTCCTGTTCTTAGCTGACAGGTAGTGGCACCAGGTGTGTTCTGTGACCTGGAGTCCATCTGCTTCATGCACAACCCGAACGATATGGAAACCTTGGCTATCGCCGATACCGATACTGGGAGGGGAAGACTAATGTCAATAACTGATATAATGGCTGGGAATTTTTTAGATTTGTCCACCCCCAAGAATATAAACAGCAAGTGGAGCGAAGCTTTATTTAGCACAGCTGTTAGCAATCATGAAGCTAAGCTAGTCCAGATCCAGATTGTAGATAATGGGGGTCGGTTAGATCCTTCATGTCATGATCTTCAGTGTGCTCTGGGATGGTTTACAGCCGAGTGCAAAGTGGTTGAAACAACAATCAGCTCCTCCAAGTCTGAGGCCAACTGGAAAGAGACTGGCTGTTCGTTCTGGGTCGAGGATGCGTCTCTGCCTCGAGTGAAAGAGTTTTAATATTTTGGAGAGTTTTTCATGAATGATGATAGGATGGAGTGGAAGATCAACAGGTAGGGCCTTGTCCTCAGTAATGAGGACATTGCTTTGGTCAATCAAGGTGAATAAAGGGTTGAGTCGAAAGGCAAGACTCTGGATTTCCTGTTTTGTCTATGTTCTAACCAGATGCTCGAGCCACCTCAACTGGCTCCTCTTGACATGGAGAAGCAGCGGCTCTACTCTGAGTCCCTCCAGGATGATCGAGCTTCTCACCCTATCTCTAAGGGAGAGCCCAGACAGTTGTTTAAAAAAAAAACAAAAAAAAACCAACACCTTTCTAACATGTTTGTTGTGTTTGACAGGAATGGTGTTCCAGTGCGTCCGGATGGGAGTAACATCCTGGTGTCTTCCGACGGCAGCCTGATCCTCAACAACATGAAGTCCTCTGATGAGGGAAGCTACACCTGCAATGCTTACACTGGCATCTATTCAGTGAGCGCCACAGCTGAAGTCAGAGTCATTAAAGACACACAACAAGGTGAGACCAACCATCCAACCAACAACAAGCTGCTGCTTTTAGTAGACGAGTGTAGTGGTAAACTCTCAAATACTAATAAACTGTACAATCAGAAGGTTATATTTAAATGAGGATGGCTGGAATCTGAACTGTGTTTTTCTAGATGCTGATGTGCTGCCAGACTGTGTGGACCAGAACCAGCTGGCCAACTGCAGGCTCATAGTTTACGCCCGCCTCTGCAACCATCAGTACTACTCCAGTTTCTGCTGTGCCAGCTGTTCCAGGCGTGTCCAGAACCATGACACGTTTGGTCGGCATGCATTTTAAAACTGAGCCAAACGGACGCTGAGCAGTTTGTTCAGAAACATCATAATGGAGTCTTTTCTACAACAAAAGACTAAAGAGGTAAAGAAGTTCAACAAAGTTAAGTCAGGTCCTCTGGACGGTTTCTTTGTGTTGAAACGTTTCGTCAAGAGGACGAAAGTAAGAAATAAAGTAAGAAACCATCCAGAGGACCCGACTGAACTTTGTTGGATGTTTTACCTGGATTACTGAACATGAACTTTGATATAAAGTTGTTTCTGTTCTCCAATCAGCACTTTGTTCAGACTTTCTGAACCACATAAATCACATAATCTGTAAGATCTGCTGAATGTATTCAGGTTTTCAACATGAGTAATTTATTCACTGGACCTACACATTCTCTGTTTTCTAGAGAAATTTGACGACTTTTCTTTCCGGTGATTCAACTTAGAATTGACTGTTTTTAATACGACTTCTGTTGCTGTTGTAATCAGTGCACATATTTAGCTATGTTCTTATATCACATTGATGAAAGTTTTTGATAATAAAAATATTTTGCTAAAAACTGGGTGGATTTAGTTGTTCCAGTTTGCACCAGAGGGAGGCGCTCAACACAACATAAACATTTTTATTTTTCACAACAATGCATAGCTGTGTCTGCTGAAGTATCTGATTTGGAAGGCCTGATGCTTATTTTTGCACAGCTCAGCTCATTCTAAGCACTTTATCAGTTGCAAACGTTTTATTTTCATGTAAAACTTGAAAGCTCCTTGTCAGTTAAATTTAATGCCAAACAATGGTAATTGGCATAATTTATATGTATACAGTATATACACTGCCTGACCAAAAAAAAAAGGTAACTAATATTTTGTTGGACCGCCTTTGGCTTTGATTAGAGCATGCATTCACTGTGGCATTGTTTTGATAAGCATCTGCAATGTCACAAGATCTATTTCCATCCAGTGTTGCATTAATTTTTCACCAAGATCTTGCATTGATGACTAGGCACAAGGCATGATGGGTGCATCACTTCACCTGCCTCTCTTCTTACCCTGATGCACCCATCACTCTGGAACAGGGTCAATCTGGACCCATCACCACATGACCTTCTATTTCTCCAGAGTCCAATCTTTATGCTCCCTAGCAAATTGAAGCCTTTTTTTTTCCCAGTTAGCCTCACTGATTACTGGTTTTCTTAAGGCTACACAGCTGTTCAGTCCCAATCCCTCGAGTTCCCTTCACATTGTGTGTGGAAATGCTCTTTCACTATTAAACATAGTCCTGAGTGTTAATATTGTTTTTCTTCAATTTGATTTCACCAAATGTTTAAGTGATCACGATCATTCAGGATTTTTTTCCGGCCACATTTCTTCCTGGAAGATACAACTTTATTTATTTATTTTATTTATAGAGCACTTTAAAACAACACTGTTGGCCAAAGTACTGGATCCCCACTATCCTTCCAGTTTTTAATGATGTGTTGGACTGTTCTTAACCCAGTTTCAGTAGTTTCTACAATCTCAGAGGTTTTCTCTGCTTGATGCCAATGATTTGACTCTTCTCAAACACACTGACGTCTTTTCCACGACCACACGATGTGTCTTTCAATATGGTTGTTGAAGAAATGAGAAGCCACTCATTGCACCAGTTGGAGTTAAATAACTTGTTGCCAGCTGAAAGATAACCGCCCATGCAGTAATTATCCAATAGGAGGCTCGTACTGATTTGCTTAGTTAAATCCAGGTGGCGACTTTTTTTTGGGCCTGAATATGTGTAAATATCTCTAACGAGTGGAGGTTTATGGCATTGATGAGACTTCCTTAACATTAATGGAATACTGATGTTTATATGCACTAAATAAAACTGAATCTCTGCAGATGACGAATATTTGTTAACACATCATACTGTAACTACAGCAGTGCTTGAAAGTTAGAATATTTTATATTTCATAAACCAAAAAGTTCTATTTTAGTATCATCCGTCCACAAAACATTCTTCAACAGCCTTCTGGCTTGTGATCTTTGTTGGTCCACTAACTCCAGTTAAGACTCTGGCAGCAGCATTTTGGATCAACTGAAGACTTTTTAAAGAAGTATTTGGACACCCAGATAATAAACCATTGCAATAGTCCAGTCTAGACGTGACAAATGCATGGACCAGTTTTTCTGCATCATTTTTAGATCAGATGTTTCTAATGTTAGTGATATTACGCAGGTGGAAGAAGGTGGTTCTAGTAACGTTTTTAATGTGGGGGATAAAAGACACGTCCTGATCAAAAATAACACCAAGATTTTTAACATTAGAGCTGGAGGACTGATTAATGCATCTAAGGAGGGAGAAAGACTGAAAAATTAATCCTAAGGTGCTAAGGTCCAAAAACCAAAACCTCAGTCCTGTCTGTGTTCAAAAGGAGAAAATTAAGGGTCATCCAGGTTTTTATGTCTTTAAGACATGCTTGTAGTCTTGTCCTAATGTATTTATAATGTCTACAAGTCTGTATTAACACGCAGGTTCATGATGAAATCTTCTAGCAGCCTCGGTGTCAAAACCTTTCAACAGTTTCAGACATTATTCTCCTTCTTTCATAGTTTTGGATGAATTTAGCAGCAAGCTGATTCCATGTTTCTGGTAGAACACACAAGAAACAGCATCTTGTTGTTATTTTGCTGCAGCAGCAAATGTAATGAAGTTCTCCTGCATGAAAGCATTCAGTTGCTCACTGCACCAGATCACCCCCCACCACCAACAACTGCCATTTGTCACGTAAAACCCACATGCTGAATTTTAGCCTTTCACCATCTGTTTGTGCAGAAACGAGCCGTGTGCACGTGCAGTTGCGCTCAGAGAACCGGAGGTCGTGGTAAACTGTACGGAGTCGTTTCTCGGCTGCTTCTCGAACCACATCCTGTCCTCTGCAGGTTTCAGTGTTCGTCACCAACAGCAGCTCCTCACACATCACAGCACTCACTTCCTGTTGATGTGCAGCACACTCAGAACTTTCCAACGTTTGATCCAAAAAAAGGTTTTTATTTTTTTTTTACTGAATGTAGACGTTAACAACCTGAGCTGTTTCTGCAAAATGGAAAATATCAGCTCTGGAACAAGTGATGCAACATGTGAGGGCAGATACAGAGAAATATATTGCATACAAGTTTTTGAACCTTAGTGAAGGAACTTTAATTATTTTCAAAACTGCAATTAGAAAATGACAACCAACATTTTCTCAAACAGTTTAATTAAATTATGCTCAACAAGCATTTCCTTGAAGTTTATTTGCAGTTTATTAGTCTTGTAAGTAAAATAACTTGAACTAGCCAAATATAAGATCCTAGTTCTAGAAAAACCCATCAGACAAAAGTTTTTACATAGACTGAAGGTTTGCCTTCTTCTGTGTTCCACGTGAGCTCTGCAACAGACAAACAGAACATCTCAGTCTGCAGCTCTTTGAGTTAGTTCTGATGGTTCACATCTGAAATCACGAGACAAACCTGGAGCTTCCAGACCAGAAGGCCCACGAAGGCTCCGTAGAGACAGCTCTTCACGATCAGGACCATGTAGGACAGTTTGGCGTTCTGAGTGATCGTCAGGTATTTCTCTGCAGGACGGCACATCAAACTGTTAACATGAACTGAAACGCAGACGAGATGTTTGGAGAACGTTCAAACGGCTTTACCTCGACCCATGCCTTCATCGGCTGTTTGAGCTGTAAGAACAGAAGAGTCGTTAAAGATGCTGTAAGAACAAGAGTCTGTTAAAGATGCTGTAAGAATAAGAGTCTGTTAAAGCACCGTAAGAATAAGAGTCTGTTAAAGATGCTGTAAGAATAAGAGTCTGTT